ATTACGAGTATTATAAGTAGGTATAATTCACTTAACAAGAAGTTAGCTAGCTTTGTACTTCGTTATTCACCAGCCACACACACTGAGTTTTCCACAGTTGAAGCTAGGTAATGTTTTCGTAAAAATACTAATGTCCGATGAAAATCCACTAAAGTTAAATGATTTGTAATGTTCGAATTTTGTAAATGTTCCTGGTCAAATATCTTAAGTTTTCCGATATAGTCTCCAAAGTTTATAGCACACTGACTATAGCAAATTAATAATGTATACTCTTTTTGGCGCGTCGCGTTGGTTATATTCATAGACATGTGGAGGTTTTCTAGAAAATTCAGATTTACGTAACAATACTGAGCTGCATTTAAGCGTTTACGTACGTACATATATTGTTGATTCTTACTCTCGAGGATCTTCTACAACTTCGGAGAATAGGCGGGTGTTTCGCAATACATATCTAACACTATTAGCTATTCGTGTTTTAAATATAAACTTAGCCCCCCAATAGCACAGCGGTATGTCTCCGGACTTACAACGCTAGAAACCGGGTTTCGATACCCGTGGTGGGCAGAGCACAGATAGCCCTTGTTTAGCTTTGTGCATAATTAAAAACAAACAAAATTAAAACAATATAAACTTATCTAAACAAACGTTGATATTAAAATAAATATACAGTAACAAATTCATTACAATAATTAGGAAAATAAAAAAAGTATAGCCAATTTCCATCATTTCCATGTTTCTATGCACACCAGAAACGATTATTACAATCATACTTTCACAGTTGACATTGAAATAACTACATATTTTAGAGACTGAATAAATATTCCTTAGACTTTTATTTATTTATTGTATGTGACGTTATTGTCACTGAGCGTAATTTGACTGTTAATTTACTTTGGAAATTACATTGCTGTTTAAAATCAATTGTGTTTCAAACTTCCGTTACCAGGGTTTGCGTTTTAATATTTAGTCAACTGTGGCTTTATCTGGTAATAAAAGTTTAATCCGAGTAATGTAAAGTAAGCAACTTTAATATGGAGTCCATCTCGTATACTTAAAATATTTTAATGTTTTACATACTTAACCTCACAGTACTAAACCTTTCTAAAGTTTCTATATTTTTGTTCTTGACCATATTTCCAGAAATTTGGGGAGCTTTGTATTTTGTTTTAACTGACGTCTATTATGCTAATCTAGTAATGGGATATTTCACGCTGTGATGTAATGTTTTATAAAGCTACTCTTCGTCACTTGTTAAATTTTTTTACAGCAATTTTTTTTCTACAAAACGTTAATTGATATAATTTAAATTGTTTTTGTTTACATAAGAAATAAATTTTCCAAAGGTACGCTAACTCCTGACTTCGGATCTATTCAAAGTATCAAATGTTGAGAATAATTTGAGTACTATACGATTGCTAGTTTTAGTTTGTTTTGCTGTCGTATTTTTCATACGTAGCATTTTACTTGTTTATTATGCCATGTTGTTATGCATTGTTTGTGTTTTTAGGGAATCTGGTACGAGTTTCTAGACTATTATATGCCAAGTTGGTTTAACATGATGGTTGCATGGAGACATACGTCGTTTCTTCGTAATCGCTTTTACAGAAAGAATGGTTTAGTGGATCCTATGATTGCGCACTACAACGAGCCACCAGTGCATTATTACATTTTTGACACATTAAACACTAACGGTTTGGAGTACACACAATAAAATAACAATTCGTATAATTTAATAACAAAATTATTTAGAAATATTACAAATAGCTCTGTTTCTAGTAATTGTAATTATTAACAAATTTAATATTCTTAATAATTTAAATTAAATGGGCCTAAAATTACCTTGCATAAAATGGAATGTAAGAATTTTGTTATGCAATACTAGTTGAAACAAAGTATTATTTCAAGCAACTAAGTTCTTAATCACAACTTTCAAATTTGGTCGACAGGAGGTGTCGCCCACTATAGTTGAAAATGATAGCTTTTATGAAGAAACGTAGGAAAGTATTAATATGAACGAATGTCGTATTAATGACTTTTTTTTTAAAGTTTAAGCTTAATATTACTAAGCAATCGTAACCTGCAAAATATGAATAAGCTTCTTTTTTTTAGCTTTGTCTTGTTCTTAATCTTTGATATTGTCACCTTAATGCACTTTATTTTTAAAATTAAGTTTATTTCATAGTTATCTTGCTGTCACGATAGTTATTGTATTACATTTAATAGTAATAAACGTGCTATAAATTATTTAATAAACTAACGAGACTATTAGGCTTCCTAGCGTTTTTGATAAATATTCGACAGTAAACACAGATAAAGAATATCCTGGTATTTTTTTTATTTTGTGAAGATGACTTTGAAAAATTATATTTCCTCAGTTTGAATAAATAACAATGTCTAGTTACTTAAAGCAAAGTTTGTATCTAAAATTGACTTGTGGCCATAATAACTTTAAGTACCCTTATGCACAACTCGTATATCCGGTGGTTGTATTCCGTATTCTTTTCTAATACCTGAATGTATTGTGTCTTAAAATTCGTGATATGGAACGCTAGGTGATGCCGTGGGTTGATGAATTTCGAAGAAAAATACGAGGCTCTCACAGTATGTGAAAATATTTTTACAGTAGGATGAAGGTGAGCGTAGACAGTTTTTTTCCAGATGTATTTGAAATAAACATCAAAAAGAAAAAGATCTGTAAAATCAGCAATATCTACAGTTTTGGTTGGCAGTGGCGTAGCAAGGGTTCTCAGCACCCGGGGGAAAAGACACTTTTGGCGCCCCCACCTCTGAATTGTTTTGATTATTTGTTTTGTGACTCATTACCCACTTAATGACAATAACATAAAGCATTAATTACCGCCTTATACAGGCCTAAAATAAAGTCACAATATAACATCTCACGATATCACAACTGTAAACCTGTAACTAATGAAGTATAGCCTACTAGGTGTACTTACATAATTTGTAAACCATTTTGATATTTATGTCATCCAGTATTGTTCAAAGTCACATAGCTAGAGTAATATTTGAAGCATACAGAATAAATTTATGTTATATACCTAGTTTTGAAACTTATGTTTTATATGAGAAACCAGTCACTTGTGGTGTACATGGATTATAAAACAGTTTGATAAAATACTACTTAAGTTTACAAGTAACAAATTATATTAGTTTACAAAACTGTACATATACTTAACTAGATCTTGTACAGGTAGCATTTTGGTATTCATGGTTACATTATATGAACCTTTCGTGCTTTTGCTGCTGCAAATTCATCAATTAAACTATCACAATTTATGGTAATAAGTACGTCTTTTTCAATACTTAATATTGCCAAGTTACTAAGTCGATCTTGAGTCATTGAGGTTCTCAAGTAGGTAAGAATTAATTTCAGCTTGCCGAAGGACCTTTCACAACTAACAATATATAACAAATGTTAGCAAATCAGTTCAGGAAAATCGGTCTGTGTGCTTTTACTTATCAACATTCTACACTCTTTAATTTCTCTGTACAATTGTGTTCCATCAATATCACCTGAATAACTCTTTGCAAAGTCGGAAAATCTTTCTTGCAATTTTCCGTCTTCGAAATCTCCATCTAGTAGAAATCCAAACCGTGAATCTAAAT